CAGCTATTACTGGTGACTGTAAACTGCTCCATTTGATATCACTTAGGTATAGCCATTTGGATTCCCCCAGGATTTCCCCCCCCCCCAAAAAAAAAAAACCCTGGACAAAGTACTCCCTACCCAGCCTGAGACCTCGAGGGAGTCGCAAGGACAAGTCCCGGCTAGTCGATGAGAAGGGAGATGCGGAGACAAGAGCTATGCTCTCCCCTCCCCTCCCCCCGCGGTATGATCTCATTTGACAGGAAGTATCTTGCTGCCCCCTCCCCCGCTCGGGCGCGCCTCTCCCACATGGATCCGGAGAGGGAGACAGAGCGGAGACGTGACACTGACTCAGCCCGCATCGGGACTTACCCAAGGGCTGCGCCGGGAACACGCTGCCGGGGCTAGTGCACACGCAGAGCTGACACGCTCTCCATGCCGCTGGGCAGCCGCTGATCACGCGTGCCCCCGCTCGCCATTGGCCGCCGCCTCACACACCTTTGCAGCGGATTGGCCGCAGCCAGCTCCGGTCTCCCCCTACGCCGAGCTGGTGGAACCGCCAGCTGAATGGGCAGCTGCGAACAAAAAGAGGAAAATCAAGGCAGCGGCCAGAGAGCGCCTGGGGTGAAGGCTCTTGTCAACAGCTGCAGCAGCAGCAGCATCAGAGCAGCTCCCAGCCATCGCGTCTCCCAGCCGGGCCATGCTGAATTTCGCATCTTCCCTCTACCAGCCAGCTGTAAGTGCGGCTCTTTCAGCTTCCTAGTCCTGGGGGGGGCTGGTGCCCAGCGAGCCCTCCCCGCATCAGGTGCACCTGGGGAGAGGTGGATGCGGGGCACGAGAAGGGGTTCAGCCCAGGGAAGATGGAGGGGGAGAGATGTCTGGGGTACGATGCCACCTTTCTGGGGCGGGAGCCCCGAGAACAAGGGATTCCTTTTGGGGAGCTGCGGGAGGAGTAGCTGGGAATCCTGTGGTGGCAGAGGAGGAATCGATCTGGGGCTGAGGATACTGGAAGCTTGTGGGAATCTGGAGAGAGGATCGGGGTCTTGGGGGGAGGTTGTTGGGGAGCCTGCGGTGCGCTGAGCTGCGGAGAGGGGATGGCAGAGAGGGACGCAGTCGGGGGCGGGGGGCAGGTTATTGGGGAGTCTGATCCGCAGAGACGGAGGCCATGGGGGGGGTTGGGATAGGTTATTGGGGAGCCTGATCCGCAGAGAGGGAGACAGTCGGGTTGGGATAGGTTATTGGGGAGCCTGGTTTGCAGAGAGAGAGGCAGTGGGGGGCTGGGGTAGGTTATTGGGGAGCCTGGTTTGCAGAGAGGGAGGCAGTCTGGGCGGGGCTGGGGTAGATTATTGGGGAGCCTGATCTGCAGAGAGGGAGACAGTGTGTGGGGGGTTGGGATAGGTTATTGGGGAGCCTGACCTGCAGAGAGGGGGAGGGATTGTGGGAATGTTATTGGGGAACCTGTGGTGATCTGCAAAGAGGGAGGCAGTCGCGGGGGGGTATTGGGGAACCTGTGGTGATCTGCGGATCGGGGATGGCAGAGAGGGAGGCAGTGAGGGGGGGTTGGGGGAGGTTACTGGGGAGCGGGATGTCAGAGGGCGTCAGTCTGCGGGCGCTGGCGGGGAGAGGTTGTTGGGGGGCCTGTGGTGAGTGGAGGGGGCACGTGGTGTGTACCGGGAGCTATGGGCGCATGTCGCTAGGATGAGGGTAGTTGGGGAGAAGCCCTGGCAGGAGGGCGGGGAGGTGGGTGGGAGGGTTTGGTCGGGGGCGGACTGCAATGGGGATTACGGTAAAAGACTGAGGGGGCTGTGAGGGAAAGGGGCGGGTGAGTGGGGGCTGACCGCTGGCGACGCTGGGGGATTCCCTGGGGGGTGAGACAGGAGGAAGGCGGTGGGCGAGGCTCAGGGAGGGGGGTAGGAACGGGGAGGGATGAGGCTGGGACAAACCGGTGGGCGAGGCTGCGGGGGCTGGAGGTCAGCCAGGGGGTGGGCGAGACGAGACTGGCTGAAGGCGGCGGGAGAGGCTAGGCGGCGGCGGGCGGGGCGAGGGAGTCCGTGGCCAGCTCCCGCCATGCAAGAGTCCCCGGGCAGGGCTTGTGCCTGTTGGGTGAATGGTTCTTGTGCAGCCTGGGGGCAGGGAGCGCCCTGTCCCCGTTCCCTTCAGAGCCCCCCCTCGAGCAGCCGGGCCCCCTCCTAGGGCTCGCTTTGGTAACCCGAGCTGCGGCGCGGGAAAGCGTCGGGTGTGGTGGTGCTGAACCTCTCGGCCGCAACCCTTCGAGAGGAGGGGCTGTTTCCGCCTTGTTCTCCTGGGAGCCGCGGGGGTGGACTGAGGCCGCCCTCCCGCATGTGTGGCTCTGGCCGGGCGGGAGCTGCGAGGAAGCATGCGGCTGGCTGGCTGTCAGCCGTGCCCGCTGCTGCAGCAGGCGGGCTCCCTTCCTGCCTGGCGGCGGGCCCTGGCTCAGCCCCCGCCCGCTGGGGAGGGAGGCGGGGGAAGAGGGAGCCCGAACGCAGCACAAGTAGGGGAAAGGTCGCCGAGCGGCAGTCCCCAGTTCACCACGTTTCGCGACTGCCTGGGACCAGCCGCTGATCACGCTTTGTTCACATGCCTCCGCCCCAACCTCGCCTCGGCCCTGTGCCAGCCATTCGGCTGCTGAGGCCCCTGACCTTGGCGACCAATGGGCGAGAGGCGGGGGCGGTACTGCGTGGTTTGAGTGCACGGATGGAGAGAGTGAGTCACAGAGGTTCACTGAGGTGAGCGTGGCTCAAACACAGGATCTGTCTGCCAGCGAGGATCTCCGTGAGCCTCTGCTGCCTCCCTTGTGAGCCAGAGGCAGTTTCTTCCTGCGCTGCTTTTGCTCATTGATCGTGTCTGTTAATATAGGCCAGTGCCCTATAGAATCCAATGCGGACAACCTTTCCCTAGCTCTCTCAGGGTCCATCTTCTGAGTATTGCATGTTCCATATTTTCTTGTACTTATAACATTCAAAAATCTGCAAAACATAGGCCTTTAATAAAGCATCTATAAAACCTTACTTGTCCTGCCCCTAAGAATAATCCAGAGGCTGGTTAAAAGCTTGATCAAATAGCTCCATCTTAATGCATGCTGAAGCTCCACGAGTTTGGGCCCTGGCAAGAGCACTTTAGGCACAGCTTTCTGAGGTGTAAATTGTCCACTGAAGACACTCACCAACCAGCTCAGGCACACAAACATCTGTTTGTGCATCAGCACTCTAAAATCAATGGCTTCAGCAATGGTGGCTGCTATATGAGCATGCAGAGTCTAAAACATTCCCTACCCACCCTCCAGCTACACAAAATAGTGGTTACCTAATCTTTTTAATATTCAAATGATATGAGTGTGTGTGCGTATATATACTCGCATAGCATAAAACAACAGAAACACTTTCCATATTATCTGACAAACTTTATTAGGTCACAATTCAAGTCAGTCAAATTTTGTGCCTCAACCCTTTTCAGTTTATTCAAACAAAAAAATTAAGATTGTACCCTAACTAAAATCCTTGTAGGGTGGAATAAAGGAACAGTAAGTACAAAATAACTCAAAGTGAAGTTTAAGGAACATAGAATATCAGGGTTGGATGGGACCTCAGGAGGTCATCTAGGCCAACCCCCTGCTCAAAGCAGGACCAATCCCTAGACAGATTTTTGCCCCCATCCCTAAATGGCCCCCTTAAGGATTGAACTCACAACCCTGGGTTTAACAGGCCCCTGCCCAAACCACTGAGCTATCCCTGTCTGCTCTGCTTTGCTTTCTTTCAGTCATTCAAAACTTGCAGTAAGGGACTAACTTACTGTTACTTTTCAAAAACTAATTTCACTAGACAACTGTTACTGAAATATCGGGTTTACTTAGCTGAGAGCTAACAACAGCCAGACAGGGATAAGGAGGAGTTGCTTTATTCTGCAGAAGAAAGGAGAGCTTTGCACTTTAGTACAAAAACTCTGTCTTACACACATTTTACAGATTTTTTATACACATTCAGACTAAGGTCTTTGCAGTGTTAACACTTGATTGGTGGTGGTCAGACCCGTGCTTTTGCTATTTGGTCAGTGAAAACCAGCTTGGGACCAGCTCCAACTACTTTAAGGCCTTGAAGGGAAAACAGTTGAAAAGTTCAGGCTACTGTGTCCTTAAGGTGTCTGCTTTCTTTTAATGGCCGCTGGCTGACATAACAACTGCTTTATTAAGGGGGGGTCACTAGTAACTTTTACACAACTGTGCAGGCAGAATATTCATCAGATAGTCTGATTCCCTGTATCATATTAACATTTTAATAAAGGTTATATAATAGGGGAAGAAACAGGAATGTAGAGTGTCTTTAAAAATATTGAATCCGCTCTGTGAAGTATGATATGTTTTACAGGTTGCATTTAATTTTTGTAATTTTTCTTTAAACAAGGAACTGTTAATTAGTTAATTTAACAGTAAACTGAAAAATATTCCTTTTTTCCTTTTAGGAGGCAGGAATAGAGATGATTACTGAAAAGCAAAACAATAATAGACGTTCCTGGAACAATACCGCTGAAAAGAGTGATTTTGAAGCCGTAGAAGCCCTTATGTCTATGAGCTGCAACTGGAAATCAGACTTCAAAAAATATGCTGAACTGAGACCTATAACACCAGCATCTGATATGTCAGAAGAAACTGATGATAACCTGCTACCTGGTGCAGCTGACTTTCATGCAATACCAGCATTTGTAAGCTTTATTCTATTATTGTACCCCGCCTTATTAAAGTTTTTTAGATCACATTAACTGTGAGAAATAATCATGCTGAATAGCTGTCTCATTACTTGCATCTTTTTTCCCCTTTTAGTGCTTGACTCCACCCTACAGCCCGTCTGATTTTGAGATGTCTCAAGTAATTCATCTGCCAGCAGCAGCGCCATCTGCTGTACAATGCAGATTATTCACTGATATTTCAAAGCCTGTTCCTTCAGCAATTTTTAAAGAGACTGAAAAGTCTCCAGCATCCAGACCAATGAAAGCTCAAGCAACAAGTGTTATTCGCCATACAGCTGATGCTCAGCTTTGTAATCACAGAACATGTCCAGTGAGAGCAGCTGGTGTGTTGAAATATCAGGACAATACTTCAAAGGAAATAAATGTACAGAATAATGGAACTGCAAAACAAAATCCACCTTGTGCAATTGTGTCACCAAACAGAGCAACTTACAAAAGTGACAAACTGCCAGTTTTAGAAGAAAAAACAAGTACAGCACTAGCTGTCAGTCCATTGTCCCTGATCCAGACTTCAACCAGTAAACCTCAGCCTGTTCCTGGATCAGTACAGCAGTCATCGACGATAGTATCTTCACCTGCTGTGCAAGCGAGTGGTGTCTCACCTGTGCCAGTAATTTGCCAGATGGTTCCTCTGTCTACTAACAACTCTGTTGTGACAGCAATAGTGCCCAACACTCCTTCTAGCCAACAATCAACCCTTTGCCAGCCTATGGTGTTCATGGGAACTCAAGTTCCTAAAGGTGCCGTTATGTTTGTTGTGCCCCAGCCAGTTGTGCAGAACACAAAGGCTCCAATCATTAGTCCAAATGGCACTAGACTCTCTCCTATTGCTCCTGCTCCAGGTTTTACACCTTCTGCAGCAAAAATCACTCCACCAATTGACTCATCAAGAATAAGAAGCCACATTTGCAACTATCCAGGATGTGGAAAGACTTATTTCAAGAGCTCTCATTTGAAGGCCCATGTGAGAACACACACGGGTAAGTCATTAATCAGTGGATAGCAGGAATTTCAAAGAAAGCTTTTCATGTATGTTTAATCAATGTTCTAGTGAGTTGTGATTTTGTTTGTGTTTGCTGCTTTCCAGAGGTGAAAGGCTAGTGCACTAATCCTTTGTACAGCTGGCTTCCTGATAATAGTGACCTTTCTAGTTACCTCAGTCAACGCTCTCTTAACATTGTACATCTCTAAAGATTTTTTTTTTTATTTTTTTGTCTTGACCGAACAGAATCTAGCATTGTGGGGCAGTCCCAGAGTGCTATTGCTTGCTTTTGCCAGTAGGTGTTAATACATGGCATAATCTTTGGTAGGATGCCTCAAAAAGGAGAGGTGACCAGCATTCTCACCTTCAGCATTAACACCCCAGAGAGTCGTTCCTTCAGGTGTCCCCGCAGTTCTTAAAAAAAAATATGGTAGTGAATCTAATCACACTAGCAAAGGATAAGGGGCTATGTATGTTTACGCAGCTCTACTAGCACACTTCAGCCTTGTCATGTAACATCCCTCCTGTTTTTAGTACAGATAGCATTTTCAGCAGTGGGTTCTGGTCATGCAAAGCTGTTGTGGTTTTATAATGTATATAAATGAAGATCAGGATGAGAATAAAACTGTTTTGAAACATAAAGCACAAGCTGAACTCTGCTTTCTAGTGATGAAAGGCTAGTCCAGGGGTTGGCAACCTTTCAGAAGTCCTGTGCCAAGTCTTCATTTATTCACTCTAATTTAAGGTTTCGCATGCCAGTAATACATTTTAATGTTTTTAGAAGGTCTCTTTCTATAAGTCTATAATATATAACTAAACTATTGTTGTATGCAAAGTAAATAAGGTTTTAAAAATGTTTAAGAAGCTTAATTTAAAATTAAATTAAAATGCAAAGCCCCCCCCCAGACTGTGGCCAGGACCCGGGCAGTGTGGGTGCCACTGAAAATCAAGTCGCATGCTGCCTTAGGTACACGTGCCAGAGGTTGCCTACCCCTGGTCTAGTGCAATGACCCTTTCTTTGTACAGCTGGCTACCTGGTGATGCTGATTCTTCGAATTAGCACAGTCAAAACCATCTTAATATTCTATGTCTCTGGGTTTGTTGGTTTGTTTTTGTGTCTTGATTGGCACAGTAGAAATTGGTTCTAAAAAAGTCAAACAAATATTACCAGTCAAAAATAAAATTGTTGCTAAATAAATGCTCATCTCTATTTTGTTTTAGGAGAAAAGCCTTTTAGCTGTAGTTGGAAAGGCTGTGACAGGAGATTTGCACGATCTGATGAACTGTCTCGGCATCGCAGAACGCATACCGGTGAGAAGAAGTTTGCTTGTCCAATGTGTGATCGGCGGTTCATGAGGAGTGACCATTTAACAAAGCATGCACGGCGGCATTTGTCAGCTAAGAAGCTACCAAACTGGCAAATGGAAGTGAGCAAGCTAAATGACATTGTTGTGCCACCTGCATCTACACCTGCACAGTGAAAAAACTCCTGAAAAGTTACCGGAACTAACTGTTGTCACTATGGTATACCACCAGTGATGTATAAAAGCTCCTATTCCAGGTCTGTAGTTCTTCAGTGCCAGCTGTTGATGGCACTACAGCAGAGAGGCAAAGGCAGTCTGTGCTTGGTCACAGGAAATGCTACTGAGAGAACCAGCGACTAACAATGGAATGTCAGGTTTCTTTTCAACTTGGTGAAAAGAGAAAGAGGTTGAAGGTTTGAGAGCAGAGCAGCACAGGTAGCAAAGGGTTTTGAATTTATGCAGATTACTTGTATGTCTATAGAGTGGTCAGACATAAGTCATGCAGAGCTGTTGGCTGATGTTAATGCTTGAAACCAACTGAAATTACAGCTTTCAAAGATGTAATGAGTTTTCAGTAGAGCACAAACTAGAGAGAAATATCAACGTATGGTACAGACTTGTTGATCAGAAATGCATCTGTACGAGAGATGGGCATTGAGGCTCACCACTTGATACAGTATTTAATGTATCAAGTATATCAGTCATGCCAGTTTTACATTACTGTCCAAATATGGAATAGATTGAGTGCTGCCATGTGGCTAGAGAGAGCCAAAAGTATCTAAATCCCCATTAATTTATTATAATATAGAAAGCTAATACTATTTTTGCTATTCCTCTTGAAAGCTCATGCTTATTACAATAGGTAATATTTAGGCATCCTATGATGCTTCTGCTTTCAAGTTGCTTATGGTTTCCTTTATACCTTTCAAAATTCCATGCCACTGCATTTTTCATAAACACTGAGACAGTATATTGTTGTTGTTTTTTGTTTGGTTGGTTTTTTTGTTTGTTTGTTTGGTTTTAAATGTAACTATAAGAATAATAAATTACACGGGTTTACTAAGAAGGCAAGAACAAATATGTTATGCTAGGCTACTTGATGTGGAGGTCACTTTTGAAGATGATTTTTATTAGAGATAAATGGTCTCTATGTAATAAGGATATAATCTATACTGTATTAAATTAGAACATTAGGAATTATTTGTAAAGTAAACATAAGGCAGTAAAGACACCAGCCTTGAATTAATAGTGTAGATTTTGTGACAAATAATGCATCAACTTTCACTAACCATATTTCTATTGTATCTTACTATGTTGAGTACACAAATATAGACAACTAAACAGTTGGATAATAATGTGCTAGATAATCTTTTATGACTACTTTAAAATTTTGCACAATACTTCTTATGTCGTACTTTATACCTTGTTTACAATAAAGAACAATTTTAATACAGACCTCCGTGTGATGCATGTTGATTGGGTTATTTGCTTACAAAGCACAGCCAGTGCAACAATGTCCATCAGCATTAGTCTTGATTAGTGTTAGGCAAGATGTTGCCCTCTTATTTATAAACCTTGTAAAACTAACTTGAATGTACAGTTAAGCTAGGGTGACCAGATGTCCTGATTTTATAGGGACAGTCCCGATTTTGGGGCCTTTTTCTTATATAGGCTCCTATTACCCCCCACCCCCTGTCCCAGTTTTTCACATTTGCTGTCTGGTCACCCTAAGTTAAGCATACACTACTTCTAGAAGCCTTCTTTTGTGCCCTCTTTTTCCAAGACACTCTTATTCCAGAATAAGTGTCTATGTAGGGAGTTATACCGGTATGACTATATCAGTAAAATTGTATTTCTGTTTGTAAATTTCCCTGCGTAGACCAGCTCTGAGAGTGCGTCAACCAAAATCTGGCTCATATAAGTCAGGTACAAAGTCCTGAATGCACAAAAGGAGGTAGGTGCCTAAGTCCCTGTTTCAGGTACTAAAGTCCCAGTTTCTGGGCCACTGTGATGCACAAAACTCCCTCTGAACCCTGTAAGTATTTAAATTCACTCAGCGCCTAAGTTTTTTCTGTATAAATTCCATAGGCACTTACATTTCTGCCTCTCAATGTGTGTATTGGTTTCACCCTCTAGGCCTCCAGATTCCTAAGCCCCAGAACTATTCACAAACTGGGGTAAGATAGGCATTTGGCCCCCTAAGTCATGTGCGAAGCCCAATCTAGTAGGATCCAGTTCCCCAGCTCCAATGACTCTTTATTTATCCACAGTGCAACAGCTTTAAGAGGAGAGAGTGAGGGAGTTCCATATCAGCATATCCCATAGCCCAGTGGTTAGAGTGCTCATCTGAGAGGTGATAGGTCCCATTTCAAAACCCTTCTCCCTGTCAAGGAGAGAGGGACTTGAACTGGGGTTCTCCCACATCCCAGCTGAATACCCTAACCACTGGGCTAAAAGTTAAGAGGTCCTTCCCTGCCCTTGGCTTTTTGCTAAAAGAGCATAAGCACCTGGCTCCAGGAGAGGGTTCACAGTTGAAAAATCTCTAGCAGAGATAAGCAACTATCACTATAGAGGGGCAGGGCTTAACACACACCTTTCTGGACAGTTTAGGTGGCTGCCTGCCTAGCATACTGTCTTTTGTGAATTGCAGTCAAAAGTGTCTATGTGCTTAACTCAGGCTTTGTGAATCAGTGTTTTCTTACATGTCTAAAAGTTAGGCACAATGATGTTCAGCATCTCAGTACTTAACTCTTTTGTGCACCCAGCCAACAGTTCTTTGCTTTAAGACAAACTAAAGTCTTAACTGGGAATTTTACAGAAAGAGAAAATTAAACACACATCAAGATGAACATCACAGAAAGCAACTCTAGACCAGCAATCAGCATAAAGGTACAGTTGCTAAGTGGCTGTAAGTCTCAAGGGACTAGTGTTAATGGTAATCTGCATGGTAAGGGCCGGGGTGGGGGGGGGAAGGGGGAGGTCTTGCATCAATTTAGCCTTTCCTATGAATTTGGCCCTCACTAGCTCCTATTATCCTTTTGTCTGGAGATAAAAACATAAGAACAGCCATTCTGGGTCAGACCTATGGTCCATCTAACCCAGTATCCTGTCATCTGACAGTGGCCAGTGCCAGGTGCCCCAGAAGGAATGAACAGAACAGGTAATCATCAAGTGATCCATCCCGTTGCCAATTCCAGCTTCTGGCAAACAGACTAGGGCCACTTCAGAGCATGGTTTTGCATCCCTACCTATCCTGGCTAATAGCCATTGATGGACTATCCTCCATGAACTTATCTAGTTCTTTTTTTGACCACCGTTACAGTCTTGGCCTTCACAACATCCTCTGGCAAAGAGTTCTACAGGTTGACTGCACTGTGTGAAGAAATGCTTCCTTTTGTTTGTTTTAAACTTGCTGCCTATTAATTTCATTTGATAACCCCTAGTTCTTGTGTTATGAGAAGCAGTAAATAACATATTTTTATTTACTTTCTCCACACCAGTCATGATTTTATAGACCTCTATCAGATCCCCCCTTAGTTGTCTCTTTTCCAAGCTGAAAAGTCCCGGTTTTATTCATCTCTCTTCATATGGAAGCTGTTCCATACCCCATATCATCTTTGTTGCCCTTTTCTGTACCTTTTCCAATTCCAATATATCTGGCCCTCATAGAAGACTGCTACTTCCTTGGTTGGTCAAAGAACAATGTCTCTATTTCTAGAAAATTATGGGCTATAGATGATATTATGGAATGGACAATATTGCATCATGGGAAGTTGACCCCTTGCTCCTAATCACCCCTTTGTGACTCATTTCCGCTCCACCATGCATTGTCAAAACTACCCAAAAGACTGAACAGTGGCAGGTTGCACGGTGGTATACCTACCCATGGTGCACCAACACGCACTTCTGGTGAGTACGTGCAGCGCTGATGCAAGGAGCCAGGTATGCCTGCACAAAAGCAATATGCTAACTGTGGTGGCCGTATGCCAACGTAATTGCTTCAGCAAAACTTTGTAGTGTAGACATGGCCTAAGAAATTCTTGTTAAAATTTCCTGCTAAAACTTCTGCCAATTGTGGAGCGGCAACAGTGATAGCAAAGGTAAGCGATCTTGTGTGGATAAGATGCTAGAAGCCTCTAATATTTCAAGTACTATGTTGTGTAAACTTGCTGTGAACAAGATTAGGCACCTGGTGTGTGTGTATGTGGGGAGTCTCATTTGGTTGCAGACGTCAGGATTGCATGGCCAAAGGCTTAGGTCTTTCACCTCATTTTCTCTGGATGGCTTGGACAAGGGGCATGGACAAAGGAGGACAGGGGCATGTAGTGTCTGGTGTTGCTAATGTCTCGAGAGTGACACATTTAATTTTCATGATGTTAATTTTTATAGGGGTCAGTATCCCATTCACTTCACCTCAGCGGCCACCGTTGTATCTTCAAAGGCTAGTTAGATGGTCCCAGCATGCTAGATATGATTGTTGTGGCCCAAGCCTTTAGCACATGGGCGTCAGGTTTGTATAATTTTTGGTGATGCCCAGAACGGGTCCAAGCAGAGCCGTCCCATCCGTAGGACAGACTAGGGTAACCACTCCAGGCTCTGTGTTTTGGGGGCCTCACGCTTCAGGGGGACGTGGGGTCCAGGGCGGCCTGGGAGGTTAGCGTGGGGCCTGGCACTAGCAGCTGCCAGCAACCTGGCCCCAGCCTGCCCCGCTCCATTCTGCACCGCTGGATCCTAGTGTTGCTCAGGGGAGGGGGCAGAAGCTGGAAAGAGGCGGGGTGGAGGTTTGGGGGAAGGGGTGGCGTGGGGGCGGGAGCGGAGCAGGGGCGGGAAAAGGCGGGGCGGGCTGGGGTCAGGTCACTCGCTGCTGCCGGTGCCAGGCCCCCTGCTAACCTCCCAGGCTGCCCTGGACCCCACTTCCCCCTGAAGCGTGGGGCCCCCGAAAGCACGGGGAGGTTGCCCTGGTCCATCTTATGGATGGGACAGCTCGAAAATATAAGCCCAAACATTGGTGGAGTCGGGCCCACGTTCCTGAATATTGGTGGAGCACAGGCACCACAGTCCATATAATTCGCCTCCTATGCTTTGACAGTCTCTAGGTCTTCAGTCATAATGGAAAATTTCAGTCTTGCAAGATCCACTGTGGTGACCAAAGACTGGGGCTCTTCCAAGAATACCAAAACCAGGACACGTGTGGGGCTCCTGCTGGAGAGATTGGCAATGGGCTTCTACTCCGGGTGATGGACTTGGGGCCCACACTTCATTTATTTAAAAATAATTAGCAACTTGTCAGCCATTTTCACTCATATTAACTCATGACTGTTACTAGGCAAGAAATTAAGGAAATGTCTCTGAGATCCCTCCTCGATGCAAGTCCATAGCTTACCTCAGCACCCTCTAACGTAAAGATGGAAAACTGCTTTAACATTTCTATCAAACTAATTTTATTTAGAGTTGAACAGTTAAGTAATCCCAGACCCACTTGAGTATGGGCCAACGTACTTTACAACATACACACTGTGTCCCTTCCCTGGAGGCTTCAGTCTATTTAGACAAAATAAAGAGTAGGAGAAAAGAGTATTATTTTCCCATTTTACAGATGGCTCACTGGTAATTTTTGAGACTGGAGCACTATTTGCTGGAACAATAGGTGCTATACAAATAAATTAAAATCCCTTTATTTTATATGAGGCGACAGTGGGGTTAAGCAATTTGTCCCAAGCCACACAGCTAAGATTAGAACATGACGCTTCCTGTATGACAGTCGAGACCACAGGACCCTGATCCTCTTGAGGTTGTTGCTGCTGGAGTTTACAGTTAAACTGTGTTATTTCAAACCTCCCTTAACCAACCAGATCTATCGTCTTGGCAGAAACTAGCATTCCTTCTGGCTGCCAGGCTGGATGCCACAATGCAGACGTGGCATCAGCCTGTAGAGGTGATTGGAGGATTTGGTCTTAGACATATACAAAATATGAAGAAACATAGGGTTCCTCTCTTACCTTGCCATTTGTGCTGTAAATAAGCTACTTACTGGCTGCTTTGCCAGGAAATTTGCACCACTTAGCAGAGTCTCACAAGTCCTCAGAAAAGTGAAAACAATTACGCAAGGCAGGATAAATGATGAATGCAGAAGTAAATTAAAAGCCCACCATTCCTGCTATTCTCCACCACAACCCTGAGTTTACCTCAGGGGGAAGTGAGAGCATGTGTATGTGGCCGGGGTCAAATGAGGTCAGGCAGCCGGTACTCAAATGCCACAAAACATTTTGCTGAAAAATGTCTTGCTCTTTAATAGACTATATGACTTTTTTCTAGAGGATATTTTGATCCAGAATTTTGTTTTGTTTTCATTAAAGGAAATCTTAAAATGTTTAAGCAGCGAATCATCAGGACAGCAAGAATGTAGCCCACCTTCATACCTCCCATTTTCTCTATTTGCAGTAACTACATACTGT